GATTCGAACCGCCGACCATGCGATCAGCAAGCCCTAGGCACTGAGGTTTTACCCACAGCGCCACCCACGTCCCTAGATACAGTGGTACCTCAGGTTAATAACTTAATTCGTTCTGGAGATCCGTTCTGAAACTGTTCTTCACCTGAAGCACCACTTTAGCTAATGGGGCCTCCTGCTGCCGCCGCACCGCCACTGCACAATTTCTGTTCTCATCCTGAAGCAAAGTTCTTAACCTGAGGTACTATTTCTGGGTTAGCGGAGTCTGTAACCTGAAGCGTCTGTAACCCGAGGTACCACTGTATTCACCAAGATTTCCTATTTGAGTGAGCAGTTATGGGGGAGTGGGGAAGCAAGCAAACTCTAGTGCACATGTGCACCCACTATCAACGTTTTAAAAAGGGCATTCCCAAATTCTTCCCACAGAGGCTAAAAGGAGAGAAAAGGAGACAATGATTTACCAGAGACAGATGCTAGGAAACCGGGACTGTCCCTGGGAAATAGCAGCAGTTGGAGAGGGTGCAAAGGGTTAACTGTGAGCGCCAAGCTCTGCCTGCCTCTGATAGGTTGAAAGAAGTAGGGGGATTGGTGCAGCCCTGACACACCATCCATTATCCACCACCAGCTGTCCTTTGCACCATCCATGTGGATCAGCATTTTCACCTTGCAACAGCTTCTCCTGCTGCTGTGTGGCTGCACCTCCCAGGGCGCCCAACTGCCTCAGCCTATGATTAATGCCAACTCCACATCTACCGCCAACTGAGCAGAAAGAAAGGAAGGAAGGAAGGAAGGAAGGAAGGAAGGAAGGAAGGAAGGAAGGAAGGAAGGAAAAGGCTTGCAACCCCAGAACACTGCTGGTGGTACAGAAACAGAGCAGAAACATGCCATTGTCACAAAGCAAGGCTGATGAGAAGCAGTAGCAGTGTTGCCTGGTGGTGATGGGATTTTGTGAAGTTCTCTCTCTCAGAGTAGCAGAGACTTGGCCCTATAGTTGTCTTGCACATGTGGAAGAAGAAAAATCTGGACCAGGAACATGGGCATAGCCAGGATTTATGATAGGGGGCAGGCTTAATGTTAGGGGGGGAAGAACCTCAGTTATCTTCATTGATTTACAGTGGTATCTCGGGCTACATACGCTTCAGGTTACAGACTCCGCTAACCCAGAAATAGTACCTCAGGTTAAGAACTTTGCTTCAGGATGAGAACAGAAATTGTGCTCCACCGGCGTGGCGGCAGCAGGAGGCCCCATTAGGTAAAGTGGTCTTCAGGTTAAGAACAGTTTCAGGTTAAGAACGGACATCCAGAATGAATTAAGTACTTAACCCGAGGTACCACTGTACTTGATCTGTGGGGGCAGGTGCCCCCTCCGCCCGGTATGCCCAAAGCCAGGAGAAAAGTCCCACATCCAGTAATTCCTAGATGGCAGCTACACTCCTGCACTCTCTTTCCACGACTGGCAACCTTTGCTCTTCTTTCACCATTTTGCTGTCCCCTACTCCTAGGGCAAGGGAAGAGAATAAGGCCAGACAATGTGGGGGCTGTTGGGAGTCCAGTAATAAATGGAGGGCACCACCATGTCTCTAGACTAGAGTTCTCAGCAAAATAAGAACACAGGAAGTTGCCTTATGACAAGACAAATCATAAATCCACCATGCTCAGCACTGTCTGCAATGACATACCACCCAACTTTTTCTGATTGATACCAGGGTTGAATCTACACGCACATAAAAAATGCTGTGAAAATGCTTTTTTTAAAAACGTTTTGAAAAATATATTGAATTTGCCATAGCTCATTGTCACCATCTAGCGTCATATATTGCACTTTACAACACACTTAAAACGTTTTATTTGCAGCTGTATAGTTGAGTCCCAGGACACACTCCCAGGTGAGTAGTGTGTGGTGTTCTTGCCCCTTCAAAGCACTTTTTGGGGGCGTAATCTCATGCGGTGCCCCAAAACACACATTTTTGACTGCTGCACAAGGTCACAGTTCTCCCCAATGCTTGGGGGGGGGGCAAGAGCACAGCATGAGAGCAAGCAAGATTACAGCACCTAAAATGGCACCATGACCTCATGTGTAAAAATGGGACACTTGGCAGGTATGCAATGCCTGGCAATGGCTCTCCAGGGCTTCAGAGAAGGAGTCTTTTCCAGCCCTAACTGGAGATCCCAGGGATGGAACCTGAGGCCTCTTGTGCACACAGCAGATGTTCTGTCACTAAAACACAAGTCTTAGTGCCGTAGTAAATTGTACTTGCTCTTCCCACCCACCTCTCTACCTTTCCTTTCTTCATTCCCTTTCATTTTCTTTTTCGTAATTTGCATTAGGTAACTCCATCAAGTTGGGGGGGGGGGGACACATACATCTGAAAACATGCAAAAAGAGGAGTCAGGAAGAAACCTGCACAAGTACTCAGGTCACATCCTCACCAGAATGCAGGAGTCTGGGAGCAACGACGAGCCAGAGACAGAAGAGTGGGCTAAGCACAACTTTACTGGTGACAGCACACCACTGGTTCAGTGCAGCATAGGGCAAGGTTCTATCCATTGGGCAGCCTACCCCAGCCTGTCCACAGTAGGATTTCACTCCAGGCCACCTCCGCTGGGATGTGCCTCTCACCAGCCGGCCAGGGCCAGCGGCGGGCTCTGGGAGGTGGGCAGGGCTCGCCTGAGACAGCCATAGCATGGAAGCATGACCATCTAGAAACCAGCTCTCTCCCTTCTTCCTGCCCCTGTGGCGTTAGTGTGCAACAAGGGCCTGTCACAGAAAGCAAGATCTTCCCTAGGTATTTCCTATAGCTCCTTAAGGAGACCTATGTACCTAGGGCTGCTTTTTTTCAAGAGGTAATATTCCTGACACCCGCAAAGTTGTCGAGCTTTTGGGGTAAAAATAAAAAGGTAAAGGACCCCTGACAGTTAAGTCCAGTTGCAGACGATGCTGGGGTTGCGGTGCTCATCTTGCTTTACAGGCCGAGGGAGCCCGTGTTTGTCCACAGACAGTTTTTCTGGCTCATGCGGCCAGCATGACTAAGCCGCTTCTGGCAAACCAGAGCAGCGCACGGAAACGCCATTTACCTTCCTGCTGGAGCGTTATATATTTATCTACTTGCACTCTGAGGTGCTTTTGAACTGCTAGGTTGGCAGGAGCAGGGACCGAACAATGGGAGCTCACCCCATCACGGGGATTCGAACCACCAACCTTCTGATCGGCAAGCCCAAGAAGCTCAGTGGTTTAGACCACAGCACCACCCGCGTCCCCCCAAATACAGTGGTTTTCCATCGCGTTGCCATACATCTGGGTTTTCCCTGACATTTTGCTCCTGATGCCATTTCCCCCACGATGCCATTTTTTCACCGGAAACCAGGACATGTCAGGAATTTATGTGATGTATGGCAAACCTAGACCTATCTCACATTGAAGTAAAGCAGCCCTGCTTATCCACGGCCTTGACATCTATCATCTATCTATCTATCTATCTATCTATCTATCTATCTATCTATCTATATCTATCATCTATCTATCTATCTGTTTAAGTTTATTTTTAAAATTTGACTAGTGCATCACATAATAACATTTGTAGATTGTTGCTGGATCTGGCCAGTGGCCCATCTGGCCCAGCATCCTGTTCTCCCAGTGGACAACCAGATTCCCATGGGAAGCCTGCAAGCAGGACCTGAACGCAACAGTACTCACCCCTCCGGGATTGAGACGCACGCTGCCTCTGACTGGCTAGTAGCCATGAGTAGGCTCCTCCTCCAGGAGTTTGTTTAATCCTATTTTTAAGGCATCTAAGTTGGTGCCCCCCACCACCTCAGGTGTGAGCAAATTCACTAGTTTAACTATGTGATTGTGGGAAGGACTTCCTTTCATTTTGCCTGCCCTGAATATCCCAACATTCCACTTCACTAGATGCCCCCTAGTTCTGATGTCCTGAGAAAGGCAGAAAAACCTTTCCCTGTCCTCTTTCTCCATGCCATGCATAATGTTATACAAGCCTATTCCTCACCTTTTATCTGAACTAATATAGGGAGCAGTGTCACTGTGGCTGCTACTACCACCAGCTTCCTATCTTGTTGGATCCCTTAAAAACTAACACCCTTTGCTAAGCCTTTAGAAAACACAGAAGAGGACAATCTGAGAGCCTTCATGGCTAAATTTAAATATTAAGCGGCCCTCATGCTTTGTTTACACAACATTTTCTGAGATACTTTCTGGAACTCACACTTCAAAAGGCTTTTGAATGGGGTGGGTTGAGGTGGAACAACTTGCATCCTCAGAAATCCTGGAGAACAGGAAAGCCGTTTGGAAAACGCATCAGCAGTGCAATGTTCTTCTATCCTCTGCATGGCTCACATGCCTACTTCCATAGTGCCACAGCAGCTTTCTTCCCAGTGGCAGCCAAATTCATACGTTTATCCCCAGTGAGTTGCCCATCCTCAGATGTTCCCCCAGAATTAATAACCCAGAAGACGCCAGCAGCAGATGGTGAAATACGTCTGTAATCCCTGGCTCTCTGCAGAGGTGCCAGAAGTCCCTGGGACTGTGGCGTCATTCTTTATTATCCGGTGTGTTTCAGCTAGAAGCCACTGCCAGGTCCACCTGGCATGGGGCCGGCACACAATGTGAAAAAAGGAAAATCATTATTTCTCGACAACTCTAACCTCCTGAATCGCACCTGGCGTCTGCTGAAAGTTGGATGCGCCAAAGGGTGTGAGGTGGGGAGGGTAGCCGTGCCTCCGACTGAGCCTGCTGAGATGTTAAAAGAAAATGGGGAAATGAATGGGACACTGCCTGGTCACAAGCAAAGTTGTGGGGTTCATGGTGGCCAAATTATTCTAGATTCCAGAAGGATGCCAACAAGTCTCCCAATGGGAGATTAAGAATGGATAGGAACCCAGGAAGCTGCCCTGCCTTTTACCAAGTCAGACCATTGGTCCATCGAGCTCATGGCAGTGGCTGCTCAGGAATGCTCCCTCAGGAATGGATCTTTCCAAGTCCTACCTGGAGGTGCTGGGGATTGAACCTGGGACCTTCTGCATGCAAAGCAGGTACTCTACTGCTGAGCCATGGCCCTTTCTGGACTGGAATAAAATATTCCACGATGGGAATAAAACCTATGAATCCTTATTCCCAACCTTTTCTTGCCCCTTGTGTTACATCAACCCTCAGAGAAAATTATGTGAAGTGACATTCGTTGGGGAGATCTTAGAACAAAATATCTTTGGGATATATATCCCAACAGATAGAGTTTTCAGTACCTGGATTCCTAGCCCTGTCAAAGATCACAGCCCGTAATCAATCAGAAAACTCATATTTATGTGAACGCCTTGCCCCTCTACTTCCCAGATTCCACTCTGTGTTCTGGGGTAGGCAATGTTTTGATTTGCTTCTATAGCAATAGTTAGGATTATAAACTCCTGGCTATTTGTTTCCTAGAGGGCAGGGGGGGAGACACAGAGGTTCATTATGCTCCAAACATCTAGCTGGGCATGAGGGGCCAGTGCAATTTGGGAAAGGTCAAGCGGCTGCTGTATCTGTTTGGATTGAGGCTTTGCACCTTCAGCCTCCTGGGGATTCATATAGCAGGCTAGGAAGGAAATTACCTTGGAATTGGATACAAAAGCTGTTGGCGTTCAGGGCAGCTTCGTTAAATAGGGATGGTAGCTGGAGCCCAAGAGGCAAGCAAACGTAAACATTTTGTGTATGTGGGTGTGCACGTGTGTTGTAGGGATTTGGAGAGAAGTGTTGCTGTAGAAAACAGTCTCAGAATCAAACTATTGGCAGGCAAAGTATTCGGCACTGGACATCAAGTTTGGCTGGAAAGCAAACAATAGTGCACCAGATAGTGGAAATAGGATTGTTCCCCTTGCTGTATGTTCCACAGTAGTCTCTGATCAAACCAGTTTTGAAGGCTTTTGTGACGCTACCCAAATCTGCAAAACCTGCTTACCAGAGGCAAAAGTTGGGATGGGGTACACAACATGAAAAGCAACCATACTCTATCATATCACTTTCAACACTCTGAAAAGCAGCAGTCATCTGTGTCGAGCCTTATGCCCCATTCCAAACCACCACCAGCAACCAATAATGCCCAGCTCGATTAGTTGAGAATACTTTAGCTGGGAGTATTTGGGATGGACATCTCCAGAAGGTGATGCTCCACCCTATGGACCCTCCAATGTGGGGGGTCGCAAAGGTCAGCCTTATACCTCATACTGTTTAACATCTACATGAAACCACTGAGGAGGATCGTCCGGGAATTTGAACGGCATTGTCATCACTATGCAGATGAAACACCTCTCTATTTATCCTTTGCATCTGCAGCTGAGGCAGTGGATGGTCTAGACTCAGTGATGGACTGGATAAATGCTGGTTAAATTGAAGCTCCACCTGGTTCTTTTGACTGTACTGGTGGGGTCAACCTGTTTTAGGTAGGGTTGCATTCCCTTTAAAGAGGCTGGTGCTCAGTTTGGGGGTTCTTGGATCCACTATGGTCACTCAAGGCACGAGTAGTTTTGGTGTCATGAAGTACCTTCCTTCAGCTTCAGTTGGTGGCCCAACTGTGACCCTGACTAGATATTCAAGGCAAGCAAAGAGAAAATATTTCTTTACAAAACACATGGGGGAAAGCAAGGATGCAGCTATGCCTCCTGACCAGAAGAAAACATTCTCTACCATGTCCTCTATATCAGCATTTAAGATTTAACCATGCATTGACCACGTACTTTCAGACTGTTGTAACCATATGGACTAGGAACTTTTTATATATTAAAAAAGTTGAAAGAAAGCTGAAATTGTTAGAATGATTATTCCTCTCCAGAAGGTCGTATCCCTATATTCTGTGTTAATTAAACCTCATTCCACAAACTGGTTCCTGGAAAGAGGAAGCCAGTTGGATCTCACCAGACAACATGCTCCATGTCTTGGGTGCCACAGTGGGCAAGGCCCTTCACTACACTTTCACAACAATGACACTTAAGACAGTGGGAGGATATGCTAAAGGGCTGCCCACTTCCTTGTCCTCAATGGATGGCAGGACTGTGTGGAAGGAGACATTCCTATAGGAATGCCTGTACCATAAATAAGCATTAATCCATCTTTTTACTGCTCTCCACTAATTTTGAGAACAGCAGATTGACTACGAGGTGGTTAAGTAGAAAATGACATTGAGGAAGGAAGGAAGGAAGGAAGGAAGGAAAGAAAGAAGGAAGGAAGGAAGATTGGATTGGGGTGTGAGGAAGAAAACTCAGTGTGAACAAGAGAGGTCAAGAATGGGTAAGTGGATTGATAAAAATCAATCTGAGTTGGATGGAGAAGTGCAAAAGTGAAGATACTAAGTGTATCACAATAAATAATGGCTTTCATTTACCAGACAAAGGTGCTCATCTTCTCATCTCCCACAAATAGCAACCACAGCTCCATCAGTTACATCGCTGTTGACAAAATGCCCCTCATAACCATCTCCCTAAGGGCTCAGCAGGCAGAGGGAGAAAATACATGCTTCCTTCTACTGCCCCTGGACTTTCCCACTCACCCACCAATATGCTCCAATATCCAGTGTTAAGAGGCCTTGCTCTCCCCCATCCCGGGAGGTATGGGGAGTGGCAGGCAATTTCTCATCCCCAGATCCAATTCCTCCCCTAGATATGTCTATTTTTCTCCCCCTCTTTTAATTCAGTCACTCAAACTGACAGCTACACTGTGTACTAAAGCTTGGCTATACGATTGCCGTGCCATATTTTCCCTGTAAATCTCCTGATGTGTCAGGGCTCCCTTTAACTCCCCAGTCCCCCGATAAATATTCATTTTATTTACGTATTTTTCATCTCTCTCTCTCCAGCTCATCCCCCTCATTGGTTTCATTGGACTCGGACTGGGTAGCGCTGCCCTCTACCTCTTGAGGCTGGCCATCTACAGCCCCGATGTGAGGTACGTTTCTGGAGAGAGATCACTACTCGGTTGCAATGAGAATGAGTTAGTCGCAGCATAGTCGCAGGCATCATCATCAGTTTATTCGTATGCCACTCTCCTGTGCTAAACCATGCTCAAAACGACTCACATTCGCAAAGTTTTCAGAATAAAATATAATAACATTTCCAGATCATTCACTGATAGTGGCAAAACATAAATAAAACACAGATAGTAATAGGCCTGATGCTATTAATAGACCTGTGTGGATTTGTAATGCTTTGTTCACCCATTTCTGGTAGGGCATCCACACGATACCATCATTCAATCATAGTCATCCTGAATTCTCCCTGCGCTTCTTCCCACTTCCCCCCCTCCCCAGACCAGGGAGACTTATTTTTCAGAAGAAATGGAAGGTGCAGCCAGTGGTCCCCCCCCAAAAAAAATAGGTGCTGCTACACATCCATGCCCCCCCACCCCCTTCCCCTGCCACGACTTGCCTGCCCACCCACCCCCTCTCTCCCTCACCGCTTCCCACACTGCTGCCACCACTTCCTGTGGCTGCAGGCATAGCCTCCCAGAGGTGCTTTGGCACCAGTCTTTAACTATTGCCAAAGCAACTCTTACAATCACCTGGAAGACTCTTTGGCGATCGTAAAAGGGTGATGTCAGTAGACATAGATGGAAGTGACCAAGTAATTGTAGCATAATGTTTAGCTGAGGATATCACCATATGTTTCAATAGTTTTTAAAGAAATAGATCCATGTTCTCAAAATTATGTCAAGAAGGTCTAGCCAGTGCTTAATTTTGAAAGCAAAAGGTGCCTCTGAATAATAATAATAATAATAATAATAATAATAATAATAATAATAATTTATTTCTACTCCACCCATCTGGCTGGGTTTCCCCAGCCACTCTGGGAGGCTTTCAACAGAACATTAAAAACAGAATAAAACTTCAAACATTAAAAACTTCCCTAAAAAGGGCTGCCTTCAGATGTCTTCTAAAAGTCGGGTAGTTGTTTATTTCCTTGACATCTGATGGGAGGGCGTTCCACAGGGCGGGCGCCACTACCGAGAAGGCCCTCTGCCTGGTTCCCTGTAACCTTACTTCTCGCAGTGAGGGAACGGCCGGAAGGCCCTCGGCGCTGGACCTCAGTGTCTGGGCTGAATGATGGGGGTGGAGACGCTCCTTCAGGTATACTAGATGTACTGTCTGCCTTGGGAAGGAAGGAAGCCCTGCTCAGCTGCTCAGCGGTAAGTGAAAGAGGCTTTGTACATGTCCTATAGTAATCAAGCAACATACATGTGTGAACTATAGACCTACATCTCCCCACCCCATCATTCCAGCACTGCTTTCTACATTGCAGTGGGGCAGAGTCTATACAGTGGGTGTGACTGACCTGCACTGACACCATTGCAAGCCCTTGCACAGTCCCAATAAGTGGTTGTTCCATTCTGCTATTGGGACCCTGTAGTTCCCCAATAGCACACTGGCAAATAGCCAAGGTGGAACTAATGGCTGGATTTGCAGTTTGCACCTGTGCAAAACTGCCCTGGAAAAAAATGGAGGAAGGAACAGCAAAGGGGCAAATGGCTATTCATCTCTCTCTCTCGGTTGCCTATGCCTGCCTGCCAAACACCAGGCCACTGCGCCTCTGGCAAGTGCACCGTGAGTCACCCTTTGAAGATGCCTAATGCTTTTATAATATCTGTTTGCTTCTGCTAAAACTATCATTGATTCAATTTGACACCATCTGCCCAGGGCACTTAGCAAAGCAATTATCAGCTCTAGAGCCCCTGTGCCTGGGATTGAGCTGTGCACACAACACTTGAACAGACGTCCGGGGATGTTCACCAGCCTCTTAACAGGCATTGGCAAAGCCAGCTCTGGATTTCTGTAGGGCCCTTCATGGGCCCTCCTAGTCCCATTGCGCCCCTAGACAAGAGAAGACCACGTCCTAGAGAATGTACAGTGTGCTTTCCCTTTCCACTGTGTAACCACAGTCAGCTTCAAAAGCCAGGGAATAGGGGGAGGGACTTCCAAGGCAAAGGTGGTTATTTCCACCACTCATGTCATCAATTTCTATTTATTATCTGTGTATATCTGAACCCAAATCCCCTGTGCTAGGGTGGTCAGGGAATTGTAGCACCTCTCTCTCTCT